TACCACGTCGAGAAACCTGTTCCATACCCAGTGAAGGTTCATGTATCAAGACCTGTTCCCTATGAAGTGATAAAACCCTATCCTGTTCCTGTGAAGGTACCTATACCTGCTCCCTACCCAGTAGAGAAAAAGGAACCTTATCATATTGAGAAACCAGTACCTTATCCAGTGAAGGTACCAGTTGAGAACCCTGTTCCTTACGAAGTAGTAAAAAAAGTCCCCTATGTGGTTGAAAAGAAGGTACCCTATGAAGTGAAGGTACCTGTGCATGTTCCTGTCCATGAAGAACCACAACACGTACCAGAACACCATGAAATTAGTGCTGGTGGAGGAGGAGGACAAGAATTAGAAGGTCATGACTTTGGAGGTGGGCATGACATATCCGGAGGTGGAGGTCATGAATACCCTGATCATGGAGGTTATGAATCCGAAGGTGCGGGACACGATTATGGCGGAGGTCATGAAACCGGCGGACATGATTTCGGTGGCGACTATGGCGGTGAGGCACACCACTAAACTTGATTTTACTCTTGTATTATGTATATATGTTTTTAACGTTAAATGTTGACTTGTTTGGTTTTTAAATAAATAATTTTAACACTTACCTTAGATATGGTATGTTTGCTGGCACATGGTACTTCGCACCGGGGTCGAAATCCATTTCAGAACGCAGCACAGGTGGTTTTATACCGGTATACTCCTCCCTGTAAACATAACCTGTATAAATAACTATTTTTACATGTTTAACCTCAAATTTTACCTGATTCGCCACCATTCGCAGTTGTATTGATCTTTATTGATCTCTCCTTTGAAGATGGAATACCTCCACTTGTCCATGGCATAAGCAAAAGGTAGGAAAGCGATTTTATCAAGTGCCATTTGATATAGGTAGTTTATATCGACAGCGCCGTCATCTACAGAGTTCTGTAATAATCCTAGTACTTGTAGATGGCGTGGCGTGCCTACAGATAAACCTATTGCTTCACCAATCGCCTCGTGAAAACCTAAAAACAAAAGTTTTTCAATTGTAAAAAATAACTTTCACTGCTTTTCTAGTTTCCAACACACTCGCAATCGATCACCATATGGCTCATGTCTCATTATTGCAGCACTTGTGAATGTAAATTCTAAATTTGTAATTAAAATGTTACTTGCCTGGATTCGCACCATCGCGGAACACTTTCGGTTGATTTCTATAATTGATGAAGTAATGTATGTGCGCCATTTCATGGTGGGCAGTTATCAAATCCTTCATTGTTATTTTCGTACACATTTTTATTCTAAAACCAATAAAAATGTTAATAAATGTTAATAGTGAAGAATCCCGGTCTAAAGTGAATAATGCACGTGTTTTTTGCATTATAGACCAGGATTCTTAACATTTTGCATTTACCTAAAGTCACGACTGTTGCAAAAGTCCCAAGCACTCGGTTGACACACCGCCACACGGTCTTGTGGTTCTTCTAAGATGGAACTCGCCCAGAAATCATTGGGAAGTGGTGTCATGTTCATAGAAACAAAGAAATCTTCAGCCAGACGAAAAATATCCACTGGTGCATAACCCTAATATTAAAATTTTTGATATTTTATTAATATTTAATCAACTTCCGGTTTTTTTTTAGTGTTGCATACTTGTCTGATCATTTCCGGTCCGACATCTAAATAATTCCGGCCTGGATATGGCTGGGAAATCTCAAAAATATTCGTCCAGGATTGTGCCCACATGTTACCCAAGATATGAGCCGGAAGTGGCGCTTGTCTATTGATCTTTTCCGGTCCGTAGAAGTCCCTCAATCGCCTGCGTACATAAGCGTGTAATAACTCATATAACGGTTTTATTTCCTCCCATGCGTCTTCTAGATCCAAGTTTAAGCTTGGGGACTCAAACGGGAAGTTCCAATATTCCGCAGTGTCACTAAAATCTAAACACGGATGTCAAATTTACAAAATGGCGGTTTTTCACTAATTTTTTGCTTACTGTTGAGTCGTGCGGCTTCATTAGACAAATGTACTAATTGTTCATAGCTTTCTTTGACGTGGTGGCCTGTTTGCCGCCTCCATTCAGTCCAAACGTGTTGTAATTCTTCCCAGTTCCGGCTGTTTGCCATTATATGTGACAAATCCGGTTGCAGACGCAATCCGCATCGGAATGGCTCGTTGAGGGCGCAAATTGATGCCTGATTGTAGACTGATAGCATGTCGTTGATCAAGCGATTGTACTAAAAGCAATCAGATTAGTATCAGGATGAATTTGTTTGTAGATAAAGGAGATTTATGAAAAAGATTTGTTTATACCCGATCGAGTTGATCTGGGGGAAGTGCTGCTGGCCCCACGACGCTCATAAATCGTATCTGGCGATAAGTTGTAATGTCGGGGATGTTGGCGTTACGGACACGAGTGAACAGCTCCCAGACGCCGTGTTGAAAATCGGAATACAATTGCTGAGCGTTTAACTAAAAATAAAGAGTTTCTATGAGTATACTTCAAATTTAACGTATTACTGGTTGCCTATATGTAGAGTGAACATTTTGTGCAGTGTCGACGGTTAGTGTATATAAAAATTGAGTTTTAACTAAGAAAAAACACAATGTCAGTGTGGTAACTTGTTGTAGTAAGTAAAACATTTAATTCTTTTTAATTTGATATATAATTTGATATGCCCACTTGATTAATTCAAAAATAATCTGTAGATTTATATATTTGAATTGGTTAACCTTCAAAAAAGCAAGATCGTGCCGGGTAAAGATGAAAATAGTGTTTTATCGATAAAAATGAACAGTTGCACTGTTGTAAGTATTAAAAAGTGTTAAACAATCATATAATATATAATCCTAGATATAAATAAGCATGTACATAGATCTAATTAGAAAATAATCTTCAATTTTGTTCATTTCACATGTGTACAACTCCGCTGCTGTGCATTGGTGTATTAAAAGTTGCCTACGTTCTTTTTACAGTGTTAGCAATCTTCAACCGCTTCGTGTCCAGTCCAAAACAAGTTTTCGGTGTGTACATCAACAACAAATAAAAGGTAAGTGTTCAAATTCGATAGATAACAACATTCTGCTTACTCCAATATATAAATCTACATGCGCATTCATGTGATTTCAAAATAATCTTAAGATTATAATATGCATATTCATCTAACCTTAAAAATTTTCAAGTTTTAAAAATTTGCGCACAGACATTACTAGTGTAACACAAGTTGCCTATACACTTTATGGTTATATAATGAACAAATCTAAAATCTAGTAACGAGTTACGACAAAATTAAAAACAATTAACAGAAAAGTGTTTCAATTAAACGCTGCGCGAGCGTGTTCCCATAACATGTTTGCATTCAGTCGAAGAACAGCCAAAGGTTACACGATTGCGCATACGTCCTTTACATCTTGTTAGAAATAAGAAGTTAGACGTGCAAAACACACCAACTTCATCATAACTCACATTTTTATTGCATAAATGAAAAACTTTTAATTGTCTACGTTTTGGTATGAAAATACCTGCTTAAAAACATGGATTTTTTCCACATCATTGATCAATGTCAGAGAAAATCCACGATATTTTAATTATATGCAGATTAATTATTGATTTAATTTGAATCAAATCAAAGGAAAGAGTAATTATGCTAATTATTTCAAAGTGGAGTTAGTGTTGATGTTATTATTGCAATTGGAGACGCTGCGATGCAGGAAAATGTTACACCACGAGGAAACTAGTTGTTTTTACATTATAAGTCCATGCGGATGTGACTTAAGTCATATTCTTTGCGTTAGGATATGTTTTATTAGCTTTTACTTGCGTTAATAATTTTTTTATTACTTGAGAGTGATCTCCTGGTTCTAAAAATTGAAATATTCAAATTTGCGTAAACGTGGCTTACAATCTTTTTGTAAATATATTTTAAACACCCTGTAAGTTATATTTTTACGACAAAAAGTAGCTTATGTTATTCTCCTGGGTCTTATACATCTCCAAACCAAAATTTATCAAAATCGGCAGAGTAGTTTTTCTACAAAGCGTCACAAACAAACTTTTGCATTTAAAATGTTCAAATGTTGGTTAAAATAAACCTCGTACATCTTTTTGGGTAAATATAATTTATCTAACATGAAATGAAACAAAATAAAATATACAAGGACAAATTATTTAGAAAAAAGGTGCGCCACTTAAGCAAATATGCAAATAACACACATAAGTGTGGTTTATGCATCTGTAGAATATCGAGATGCATTCATTACCAAACTCACACATCTCCAGTATTTTATGTTTCTCTCCTGTGCATGGTTAAGTACCATATTGTTTCATGCAAGCTGTGGTTTCACCAGGGGCGTAGCTACCGCCGTTGCTTAACATTGTTTATTATGTCGTCGAAGAAAACAAAAATCATCTGGTTCATTAGTTATGCACGTGGATGACGCACACCGAGATGCATTACGCTTGCATAATGTGTGAGATTGTGAGATACTTCGTCGCGGAATGCGAAATTAATGCGACTGATGAAAAGCGCGCTTGAATTTGATTAAAGCATAAACGCGAATTAAATTTCCATTTACGGCGAATTACGCGTATTGTCAATCAGCCGTAAGTAATAATCTAATATCTTCCATTTGAAATTATTCTGTTTTTCCTACTTATGCGAAGTTGTTTGTTGGTTTCAAGTACTTTTAAGTGATTTAGGTGTTTTCTGCTAAATCATTTGTATAACGCATGAAAATTTTTTATTATTGCATCAGGATATTGTGAGACAGATGAGACGAATTTAAATTTTTAGCGATCACGTTTTCCTACGAGTATTGCGGTTTTGTTTGATGTTGTAATAAATGTGAAGTTTGTGGACAGTGGTCACAAAAGAATTTCAAAATTTGCAGCCATAAATTTCGGTTTTACGAAAATATTACGAGAACAATCATGGCTTGTGTGTGTTAGTCATGCAATTCTCTTGCTTAAAATTCACACCACGTTTTTCCTGATATTACAAATCATTTACGAATATGAGTAATGTTAAGTTATGACTAAAAAAATTATATTTGGTTAGTATTTAGTTGAGTTGTTTAGTTATAATTGTCCATTTGACTAAAAATCACATTTTTGGACAATATTTAGTCGAGTTATTTAGTAAGTAACATGGAAAATTAGTTAAGTTGGGACTCTACTTGACTGAAAATTTGATTTTAGTCAAAAAATTTAGTCAAGTTGGTAAGGTATCACTGTCCACTTGACTAAAATTTATTTTTAGTTAGTGTTTAGTCCAGTGGTTAAGTTATTACTGTCCATTTGATTAAAAATCATATTTTTGGTTAGTATTTAGTCGAGTTAATTAGTAACATGGAATAAATAGTTAAGTTATGAAAGCTCTACTTGACTGAAAATACGATTTTATACAAAAATTTAGTCGAGTTGGTAAGTTATAACTGTCCACTTGACTAAAATTTAATGTTTTAGTTAGTATTCAGTCTAGTTATTAAATAATGACTGTCCATTTTACTAAAAGTCATATTTTTGGTTAGTATTTAGTCGAGTTAATTAGTTCCTTGACTAAAAATACGATTTTGGTCAAAAATTTAGTCGAGTAAGTCGAGTAACTTAGAAAAATTATGTTT